CTAGCTCTTTTTTGAACCCTGTTAAAGTCCTTGCCTTCACCACATCCTCTGGCAAGTAGTTCCACAGGTTGACTGTGCACTGAGTGAAGAAAAACTTCCTTTTGTTTGTTTTAAACCTGCTGCCTATTAATTTCATTTGGTGACCCCTAGTTCTTATATAGTGGGAATAAGTAAATAACTTTTCCTTATTTACTTCTTCCACATTAGTCATGATTTTATAGACCTCTATCATATCCCCCCTTAGTCTCCTCTTTTCTAAGCTGAAAAGTCCAAGTCTTTCTAATCTCTCTTCATATAGGACATGTTCCAAACCCCCTAATAATTTTTGTTGCCCTTCTCTGAACCTTTTCCATTGCCAATGTATCTTTTTTGAGATGGGGCGACCACATCTGAACGCAATATTCAAGATGTGGGTATGGTTTTATATAGAGGCAATAAGATATTCTCTGTCTTATTCTCTATCCCTTTTTTAATGATTTCTGCATTCTATTTGCTTTCTTGACACTGAGTGGATGTTTTAAGTGAACTATCCACAATGACTCCAAGATCTCTCTCTTGAGTAGTTGTAGCTAAACTAGTCCCCATCGTATTGTATGTATAGTTGGTATTATTTTTTCCAATGTGCATTACTTTACATTTATCTATATTAAATTTCATTTGACATTTTGTTGCCCAATCAGTTAGTTTGGTGAGATCTTTTGAAGCTTTTTACAGCGTGCTTTGGTTTTAACTATCTTGAGCAGTTTGGTATCATCTGCAAATTTTGCCACCTCACTGTTTACCCCTTTCTCTAGATCATTTATAAATAATTGAATAGGATTGGTCCCAGGACAGACCTTGGGGGGGGGGGGGTCTCTCCACTTGGAAAACTTACCATTTATTTCTATCCTTTGTTTCCTGTCCTTTAACCAGTTATTAATCTGTGAAATAACCTTCCCTTTTATCCCATGACAACTTACTTTACTTAAGAGCCTTTGTTGAGGGACCTTGTCAAAGGCTTTCTGGAAATCTAAGTATACTATATCCACTGGATCTCCCTTGTCCACACATTTGTTGACCCCCTCAAAGAACTCTAGTAGATTAGTAAGGCATGAGTTCCTTTTACAGAAATCATGTTGACTTCAACAAATTATGTTTATATATGTGTCTGACAATTTTATTCTTTACTATAGTTTCAACTTATTTGCCCAGTACTGACACCAGACTTAACAGTCTATAATTGCCAGGATCACCTCTAGAGCCCTTTTTAAATATTGGTGGCAAGTTAGCTATCTTCCAGTCATTAGGATTTAAAGGATAAGTTACAAAACACAATTAATAGTTCCGCAATTTCACATTTGAGTTCTTTTAGAACTCTTGGGTGAATGCCATCTGGTCCTGGTAACTTGTTATTGTTAAGTTTATCAGTTTGTTCCAAAACCTCCTCTAATGACACCTCAATCCGCCCAATTCCTCAGATTTGTCACCTAAAAAGAATGGCTCAAATTTGGGAATCTCCCCAATATCCTCATCTGTGAGGACTGAAGCAAAAAATTAATTTAGCCTCTCCAAAATGGCTTTATCATCTTTGAGTGCTCCTTTAGCATCTTGATTGTCCAAAGGCCCCACTGGTTGTTTAGCAGGCTTCCTTCTTCTGATGTACTTAAAAACATTTTACTGTTACTTTTTGAGTTTTTGGCTAGCTGTTTTTCAACTCCTTTTTGGAATTTCTTATTATATTTTTACACTTAATTTGACAGAGTTTATGCTCCTTTCTATTTTTCTCACTAGGATTTGACTTCCACTTTGTAAAAGATGTATTTTTATCTCTCACTGCTTCTTTTTCTTGATTGTTAAGTCACGGTGGCATTTTTCTTGTTCTCTTGCTGTGTTTTTTAATTTGGGGTATGCATTTAAGTTGGACCTCTCTTATGCTGTCTTTGAAAAGTTTCCATGAAGCTTACAGAGATTTTGTCACTGTATCTTTTAATTTCTGTTTAACTAACCTCCTCGTTTTCATGTAGTTCCCTTTTCTAAAATTAAATGTCACAGTGTTGGGCTGCTGAGGTGTTTTTCCCACCACATGAATGTTATATTTTATTACATTATGGTCACTATTTCCAAGTGGTCCAGTTATATTTACTCTTTTGGACCAGATCCTGTGCTCCACTTAGGACTAAATCAAGAGTTGTCTCTCCTCTTGTGGGTTCCAGATCCAAATACTCCAAGAAGTAGTCATTTAAGGTATCAAGAAATTTTATCTCTGCATCCTGTCCTGAGGTGACGTGTACCCAGTTAATATGGTGATAGTTGAAATCCCCTACTATCATTGAGTTTTTTATTTTGATAGCCTCTCTAATTTCCCTTAGCATTTCATAGTCACTATCACTGTCCTGATCAGGTGGTGTATAATATCCCTACTGCTATATTCTTAGTATTGGAGCAAAGAATTATCCATAGCGATTCTATGGAACATTTTGTCTCATTTAAGATTGTTACTTCACTTGGTTCTACATTTTCTTTCACGTATAGTGCTACTCCCCCATCAGCATGACCTGTTCTGTCCTTCCGATGTATTTTGTGCCCTGGTATGACTGTGTCCCATTGATTGTGGTCATTCCACCAAGTTACCCTGATGCCTGTTATATCAGTATTTTCCTTTAAAAGGAGGCACTCTAGTTCACCCATCTTAGTTTTCTAGCGTTTGTTTATAAGCACTTAAAAAATTTGTCACTATTTTTCTGTCTGCCATTTCCTGATGTGTTACACTCCTTTTCATTTGATTGTGTCTCATCTGATCTAACCCATACTGCGGTCCTCTTTTCCTGACTAGAACATAGGGAATCTCAATTAATGGACTCTTCCCTAAGAAATTTCTCCTCTGCAGCTGTTGGCTTTCCCCTAGCATTTAGTTTAAAAACTGCTCTACAACCTTTTTAATGTTAAGTGCCAGCAGTCTGGTTCCATTTTGATTTAGGTGGAGCACATCCTTCCTGTATAGGCTCCCCCATTTAAAAATTGTCACCGTTTCCTAATAAATCTAAACCCCCCTTCCCTCTCTACACCATTGTCTCATCCACGCATTGAGACTCTGAAGCTCTGCCTCCCTACCTGGCCTTGCGCATGGAACTGGACGCATTTCAGAGAACAACTCTTCTATAGAGTTCCTGGATTTCAATCTCTTTCCTAGCAGCCCCCCCGGAGAGGTATCCTCAGTGCGAGATGATACCGCAACATCATCTGGAAGGATATCTTCTTTTTTTGCCATCCCTTTCATGATTGCTCATTTTACATCCTACAGTAGCTAGGTTCTTCACAAGTCTCATGTAGATATTTCTCTCAGTCAACCTCCTGAGAGTCATTGACGTAGACTAAGTCCAGTAACCTGTTTAACATAGACTGTAAGTACCACATGTTAGTATCAACCACCTGAGAAAGTCATGAACATATGCCCTTGTTTTTTTGTAGTGTCCTCTTTTTAGATTTGTTAGGTAAAAATTCAGAAGATTGCTATATTGAGTCAGTACAAAGCTGTACCTAAAATTATTGGTCCTGTTTGCATTACCTGCCTCTTTGACATTGGCAGCATACCTCTTGGATAATCTAGTGTGTACCCTACAAATAGAGAATTAACAAATCATACTTTTAACTGTGTTACTCAATAACTGTACATTTTATTTATATTCTGAAGTTTATTAACTATAAAACAACTTGGGTTTTTAAAATATTTGTTTACATTTGTGACTGTTTTAGAGAAGTGAAGCTATATTTTGTAAAGGTGTGGAATGGTTTGGCCTTCTTCATGAGCTGTTGGATTCGGGGCCGTAACACTGTCTGAGAGAGTTACATTTCTCACAGTGAACCGGTCTCTTTTTCAGCTGCTTCCTCACTTCCTTTTAAAGGGGTTTCAGGTGTGTGCTTGATTTATATGCTGCCTTTTGATTAAATAGTTTACAGCCTGCTTGTCCAAAATGTGTGTTGAACATAAAAACACCTTTAGGAAGATGGTGCTTCAGCTAATTGAGGAAGTGATTCATGTCATGAGGTATAAAACCGGTCTCTGCTGTACAACCTCTAATTCTAAAAATTACCACTAGTCATTATTAGCTGAATTTTTCTAGCCATGTTACTTTTGTTATTTTTTTGAATGAAAGTAACATATATCTCTTTTAATGGTGTTTTTCTGCATTAAATGTAGTTTTTGGTGCCATAAACGAGATTTTTATTTTATTTAAGACACAAAGTATTATTGTTAATTACTTTGCTGAACAAATATTAAGAAGCATATGTTCTTTTATTATAGCTTCTAGTTCAGAATGTTTCTGAAAATAAAACCATCTGTTCCGGCAGGTGCAGCTTTTTTCTGCTGAGTGCTGCATTTCTGTCATGCCACTTTCTGTGTTGAGGTGGAATAGTAAAGCTAAAAATAGAACATTTTTTTAACCCTCTAGGGAACCTTCTTAGCTATTGATTTATATTGTCCTGGTTTTTCTCTCTGTTTGCAAAATTGTCTTTTTGGAAGTGCATAAGAGACTGAAAAATATTCAGAGCTACATTGCAGTTGCTTGGAAATGAGAATTTAGTTTGCAGCATTATTAATTGCATCCATCCTATCTTGTAGCTTCATATTAATATAGTTACTCACAGTATAAGGCTTTTCAGGTGCCTTATATCATCTAAAAAAGCAAATACACAGAAGCATCTCATTTATTTAAAATGAAACTTTAAGGATAATTAAGGGAATGGGAAGTTTTATGTTTAGTTCAGAATCAGATTTCTTCACATTGAATTAAGCTGTGAGTGTTGTCTTTGGGAAGCCCTTAATATTGATTCAAAGTATAAATTAAATGGCATTGAAAATAATAAGTTGAAAATATTCATATGAAGTGCCTGTCTTGTATTCTGAATCTAATGCACAGATATACTGTCTAATTTTGTTTCTTTAATAATGGAACTAATATTCAGCTGTATAATTTTCTGAAGATAATATCCTAATCTATTAACTGTCCTATCACATTCAGATTTCAGTGCTGCTCCTTTTCACAAACAGGTATGAGTAAAATCAATTTACAATATCTATTCAAATGGCTGATAATACCCTGAATATTTCTTAGTCATTTGTATGCATTTATTTGATGCACTTTTGTGATCTTTCTAAATGAATACATGTTTGTATTAATTGCATTTTTGTTATTTGCATGTAAAATACATTATGCTATTTTTATCCTAGGAAGAGTCTGAGAGAATTGATGTATTATGTTTGTGTATTTTTGGAGAAAATTTCAGAGCCACTGAAAATACCAAAACCCAACTAGAGTGGCATAATGGGGAAACTTCACCCACATATGCATGCCTATCTATGTATCTTAGTCTTAACATGCCCAATTTGCAGTGTGCTATTCAGCTTGGCTTTCCACAGACTGTCAGATACCAGGATGTGGGCAGTCGGGCCTAGTGTCTAGAACTGGAGTCAGTGTCTGTTGGTTAGAGCCACAGTGAGGCAAGGCAGGAATAACAAACATAGTTTTCCTGTAAACATGCATTTAAATCAGTTGAACAGTTATAACGTGTGCTCTTTCTTTAGTAGAAAGCAACCCACCTGAGCCCTCAAAAATTTGTTTTTGGGGCTAACTTGAGGAAAATATCTTTCTATTTGGTCAGTTGGAGTCACAGGCAGTGTTCCTTTGAAGGTGAGTGATAGATAGCACAACTTCACAGGTGATTAATCAGCCCCACCCAGTCACTGAGAGGGGGGGCTCAGTGCATGAAGCTGACTGACTGGACAGGGCTAATTAATCACTAGTGAAGCTGTGCTGTCCCACAGGTTAGAGGGAACACTGGTGACGTGTTTTGATTGTTCAGGTTATTTGTAGAATAGAAATGTACTAGTTCTTCTGTCTCCAGTGCTTGATTGCATTCATCATGAAGTTACTAGTTTGATGAAATCTATTGATGTAAGTAGACTTGCACTGAATCCTGTGAATCCTGTTGACACTTGAAACAAAAATATGAGTGCTTTTATGAATCTGGCCGAGTTGGTGTCCTTTTGAAATTGTTGAACTTAATTTAAAATTTCCATTGAAATATGTTAACTAGTTTACACTCAGCATTCTGTGTCCAAGTGATCAACATCAGATGCTTTAGGAAGATGCAAGAAATGGCTGCTGTTTCCCTCTCTTTTATGTTAGCCATTCTTTATATTTTTTATCATGTCTTGTTCTTAGTTTCTTTTCAAAGGCAAACATAGCCATTCTTTATATTTTTTATCATGTCTTGTTCTTTGTTTGCCTTTGAAAAGAAACTATGCCAGTCTCTTTAATCTCTCTCCCTATAAGTTCTTCCGTTCTTTAAAAATGTTCATTGCCTTTCTCTGAATGGTTTCTAATTCTACAAAATCCATGCACATGCTTGTGTCTGTGTACACATGTATGTGTTTGTAAAAGGTTTTGATTATTATAGTTTTACATTACTAGTCATTTGAATATGTGTAAGCAATTTTTTTTATATGTAGGTATTTCTCTAGCAATCATCATCATGTTTTTGAGCACTCTACAAAATTAATGATACATCATTTACCTCCGAAAGATAAAACCTTCTCCTTCTAAGTTGCTGGGTCAATTCCAGGCACTATTTCCAGAAACAGGGAAGCTTCACTAGATTTATCTTGAGAAGTGACCAGCACTTCAAATAGAAAAGCGGACTTTTGTTACAGCTCACTCACTGCCTTTTTTGTCCATATGGATTTTAATGAACTATTGAGTTAGCATATGCAGTACATGTGGCCTTTACATACTGTTTCGCTCTGTTTTTTTATGTTCAATCCAGTATGATCCAGATTCAATTCACTGTGAAATCAGGCAAGTTCTTCCAGTGCTTGTTGGTGTTGATTTCATTCTAGGTGTGTGCATACCTACATGCAGTCATTGCAGTTTTTTCCCTTAATGGTGTCCATAGGGTTGGTTGTAGTACCCCCTTGAGTGGCACACTTATGCATTGGTGTATTAAGTACTGTCAATGCTACACCTTCAGTTCCTTGTCCATAATGGTTTGTTGGAGTGCCTTGTTTTGCATTGCAAGTGCATTAGTGTATTTTACAATCCAGATGAGCAAGGGAAAGCTGCCCCTTCCCCCGCTGTGCAGTCTGTCATCTATGGATGAAGCAGTGATGGGCCCCTCACAAATGAACAGCAGCTCCTCACCTCCTCCAAAGACTTCTAGGAGCCCCAAACACTGCTCTAAAGGGTGACAGCCAACTTGAACTTGGAGTGCAAAGTTGTGGTGAGAGGTGTCCTCCGGACGGCCTTTGATACTTACCAGCCAGGATAGTCACTTCTGCAGCGATCATGAAATGCAGTTCTTGGATATAGTCCTCTGGGCTGTCCCAGGAGATACAGCCTATCTTTTAGGATCTCCCATTTGAGAGAGCAGGCTCTTTTCAGAGCCGACAGATGCATGGCTCCATAGCCTTAAAGAGTCCCAGGCCACTCTCTGTTCCTTGGACCTGTACATCCCTCAGCTAGATAGAAAGCTGTTTCATCACCCACCATCTCTGCCTGTATCAAGGTCATTGGATGCCTAACAGGAAGGACAGAAACAAAGGATTTAAATGTCACCCTTTATCTTCCTGTTCCTCTGCCCAGCCTGGTTCTTCCAGAGGCCAAGGAAGCCTGAAGCAGGCATTTTAAAGATGCACCTGAAAACAGTGCCACAGTCCTGCTCTTTCCTCAAATGCCTGTAGTTCATGGCCAACCTTTCCTTACAACCCTCTTCAGGGACCCTACTTGCAGGTGACATCTTGTTCTGAAGGTTCAGGAGGTAATGCACCTGAGAGTGGTGAGTTAAGTCCCTCCAGACTTGAAGCGGAAAGGGTTCTACTCCCTTTCTTTCCTAAACCAAGTAGCAAAAAGGGGCCTCAGACCTGTTCTCAATCTGTGCTGCCCCAACAAGTCACTCAAGAAGTTAGTTTTGCATGGTCTCTCTGGCCTCCATTACTCTCTCTCTGGATCTGGGAGACTGGTATGCTGCCCTTGAAGAATGCATGTGGGGTACAACATTTTATGTTGTGTCACTTACCACTTCAATTCACGATGCTGTCTTTTGGTCTCTCTTCAGTCCCAAGCAGTGGCTGCTTACCTGAGGCAGCAAGTGGTGCAAATGGAGACATACCTTGACAACTGGGTAATAAGGGCCAGTCCCAGGATCAGTGACATCTCAATCTGGTTTGTTCCCCTGTCGTGATCTGGGGTTCTGCAATTTATAAACACTCTCAGGGTTGACAGGAAACTAAAGGGCAGCACTGTTAATTAAAAAACCCACCATAATAAACAAGGCAAAATCAACCTTTATGCATTGTACTGGAATTGAGTTCCTTGGAATGGTCTTCAGCTCTGGTCAGTCTAGAACCTTTCTCCCTGAGGCTCAATTCCAACCTATTGTGGGCCTGATTTCATGCATGCAAGCCCACTCTCTCACCACAGTTCACACATGCTTGTGGTTGCTGGGCTACATGACAGCCTGCACTTTTGTTCTAGAACATGCTCTTCCACCTCAGAGGCCCCTGCAAACATGGCTGGCATTAGACTATGTCCTCAACAGATACAGTGCGAGGTTGTTTGTCAAATCATGATCACTCCTACACATCAATGTCAGGGAGCTAAGCAGTGGTTTGCCTGGTCTGCCAAGCTTTCCTACCTCTCATAAAAACTAGGGTGCTCCAGGTCCTGACACATAGGACAGAAACTATGTTCTATATCAACAAGCACAGCAGAGCCAGATTATCTGCCCTTTGCCAGGAAGATCTCAAGCTCTGGAACTTCTGCGTACAACACAGTATCAAACTTGTAGCCGCACAGCTCCCGGGGCCAGGAACACTTTGGCAGATTACTTCAGCAGGGCCTTCTAGTCTCATCAATAGTTCCTCCATCCAGAAATGGTTCGTTTCCTCTTCCAGAGGTGGGAATTTCCAAATGGAGGCAGAACAGGAAATGCCAAGTTTTCTGCTCAGTTCGGAAGATAGACGGAGGCTCCCTGTCAGAAGCTTTTCTGCTCCCTTGTTCCAGGGCTCTATTGTATGCCTTCTAGTAATTTACAGAGTCCTCATGAAAATCAAGTAGGACAGGGCAAAGGTGATTCTTACAGTACCAGCATAGCCACACCAGCACTTGTTTGGCATGCTGCTGGACCTCTCAGTGGGTGTTCTGTTACAGCTGCTGCTCCAGCAGGACCTGCTGTCCCAATCCCTGGCAGTCTTCTGCATCCGAACCTGGTGGTGCTGAATTGGCTGACTCATTATCCAAAGAATTGGAGTATGTCAGTTGGAGTTAGACTCCCACCAATTTCTTAATGACCTTTCCTGGAAAATAGGAAGCTTAGAGATTAGATGATAGTTGGCAAGGTTATTTAATGTAGATTGATCTCTTGGTAGCAAAGGCTGAATGTCTGAGGGCTGCTGGCAGCTGGCCTTCTTTAACCTTGCCAGTAATGAGCTTGGGTATCCCCAACTCATTTTTGTCAATTCACATGGCTGAATCACTCTCATGTCTTAAATAGAACCTCTTTCTGTGGTGAGCATAGATGAAATTTATCCAGAGAGTATGGTGTCCTTATACTCTTCTATCATGTTACTACCGTGAGAGCTCCGGAAGGATGTCTTTGACAGTCTTGTCCACAAGTGACCACAAAGTGGACTTGAGACCTTCCACCACTAAGCAGCACTTGCCCTTGAATTTCCACTGCCTTTACATTTTGTATATTTTGCACTCTCTCTATGGATTGATAGCATTTCACATTCATTTAGTGCACATGTAAATGACTATGCAAGGTGCAAGAGAGTAGAGAATCAGGTGAAGTTCATTTAGAAACTAGTTGGAAGCAAACTGGGTTAATTAGATGACTTAGCAGATGTCATGGTTCCATTGAGCAGGATTTAGCTACATAATAGTAGAGGAGAAGGACCTCTTGACATCCATCTTTACCTTGGTGCAAGAACCTAAATACTCGTTTTCAAGCTTTCATGATCAGACCTCTTCCATCAGTGCTTCAGTTTGTTCACCTGCCACAGATGAAACATGAGGTGACCAGTAAACCATGACAACTTGTGGGGGTGATACATAGGGGCAGGGTTGCCTGGACCTTGTGGCGTGTGTAGTCATGGGCAACAAATGACTGTAATGCCACCACCAGACTGTCCATATGCAGAACAGTTTTGTCCCCCAGGGAGCTTTGGAAAACCAGTAGAATTGTTGGGTGGACTATCAGATCAATGCAATTTTATTATACTGTTTACCTGAGCTGATCACCGTAATAAAAACTAATGGAGTTTGATGTTATCTTCTATAACACACATTTTTATTCAAAGGTTATTGTGGTTTTCATTATCATTCTGATGTTGAAATTGTGGTATTTTTGCCGAAACTTCCTTACGGTGTGGTTTTTTTTTTTTTTTTTTTTTTTTTTTAAGTTTTTAAAAGTTAAGTCTTATTGAAAATAAAAGTGCTTCTGACAGGGAAAGCTAAGTAAACTTACTAGCTTACAAGTCAAATCAAGTGGATATATTGTTTTGTCCTTGATACATTAGTATTAATGGGCATTGCACACATGATAGACTAGCCCATTTTTAGTATTGTGCATATAACCATCCTATGTTGTTCAGTGGCATTTGAAGCCCTTTGCTGAAGGATCATGGAAAATAATAGTCTCCACATTAATATTGCTCTTATCACTAGAGATTCTGATTTGTATTTGATATTTGATTTTGTAGACCAATTCCCCTAAATTATCTTTATACATACTGTAAATTGCACTATGACCACCAAACTGCTAGAGTTAAAAGGCCGGTGGTTTATTTTCACATAAGCTGTGAATAGTAGTTTCTTTTGAGGAACTCCTAGTTAGTGTTGTAACATTTAACTGCTTTTATTAGGCAACTTTAGAAAAATCTAGAATAATCACATTTTAAAATGGAAGCTGTTGCGTTAATGTTTACATATTTAAAGCAACAGCAACATTTCCTTACCAGAGGTAGGAATATCCTCTTAAATTATTAAAATTAATTGAATTTACAAAATCAAGCTTAATTTTTGCATTATTCATTGCTTGAAGAATAAACACTAAACTTCCCTTTTTTGTACAATCCGTTTTCTACTGTATTTCATTTTCAGATTGTCATATATGTCCCTATGCTGCAATGTCTGCATTACAAAAGGAGGAGCCTGTTTGTTTTTGTTATTAATTTTGGCCTGAGCTTCCTATAATAAAGCTCTAATAGAGATGTTAAGAAAGCTGCATAACTTCTAATGTATGCATCAATGTGTAAAAATTTTTATAGGTGTAATGTAATTGTTTTTCAAAACAAGATTTAAATATTTGTGTAATTCCAGGCTACCAAGTTATGCCTAACCAGCAGCAAGCCTACCAGGGGTTGGTTGGAGTTCAGCAGTCTCAGAATCAAAATCTAGTCAGTAACCAACACAACAACATTGGAAATCAGATACCGGGAGTGATTGTTCCATATACTTCAGTGCCATCATATCAGGTGGGTTATCTTTTCAGAACTTCCTAGTCGTTTGTTTGACTATTTAAAACAATTTTTAAAATTCAGAACAACTTGGTAGGTTGAAAAAAACCCTGCTAAGGGGAGCTTAAGAGGATTTTTAAAAGGTACAGGTTGCATGGAGGATCCTGGACCAGAAAGTCCTGGGGCTGGAAGCCTTCCCGAATGTGCAAGGGGGGCCTGAGGCTGGGAGCCCTGCTGGGGTGGGAAGCCCAGGAAAGCCTGTGGCAGTGGCACCAGCGTCTGGGGGGAGCCAGAGACCAAGGTGGCAATGAGCTGGGAGACCAGTGACAGAGGATCTCCCCTGCTCTTGAAAATTCCCTTGTTCAGTCAGGTCCCAAGGATGCCCGACCAGAGAGGTCCAACCTGTAATGTGAAATGTCTTAAGCAGGAACATTGTAAATACACAGCTTTCCTTTTTGAATAGTTGCTTTGAGGGCCAGGTGTTACAGTCAAAGAATAACATTAAATATGGTGCAGAGTTCATGAAACCAAAGCTCCTGTGACATCTGCATTTTGTTGTTGTTTATTTCCTTTATTACAGAGAAAATGCCTGACTAATTCCTAGAATTCCTAGGAGAACATTTTTGGCATTATTTGTAGTTTTTGTCTTCCATGCTACTATGTGAAACTTGGGAATTGAGGCCTTTTTCTATCCTATTAAGTCAGTTTTTCATGGTTATCATTGCTTAGTTTCTATAGTAAAGCTACATCCCTTGGTGGAATAATTGATATATGGTAAATGGTGAGCAAAGAATTTCCTATGTAGAATAATTGTATGAGGTGCCTCTTGTAAATTTTTTCAGTCACCATCCTCTATTTTGTCCAATTGCATTATTGCCGTTTTATGACCCTGCTAAAGTTTCATCTTCAATACTTGTTTCACTTTAAGAAGCGCTGGTATAACACTTACGTTAAAGTAACCATCTATAATGAAGCAGAGGCACAAACAATTAATACTCATCTGGATAACTTTTCATTTATGAAGTTATTTTGATGCTGTCAGGGTCGTTCCCCACTCTGGCACTCAAAGTGCAAAAGGTAGGGGCTTCAAAAGACCTTGAATGACTTGAGTCTGTAGGCTTTGCTTAAAAAAAAACCCCAAAAAACAAAAAAGCAACCACCTTCTCAGAGTCACAGATAGTGGCTTTGGAAGATAAGCTACCACCACCAAGTGATTTTAAATAACCCTGAAAAACCAGGAAGGAACATTTGAATTCCTTCCTATGGGGTACCCCAGGCTCCTCTGCCACCAGAGAGCTTGAAAAAAGAAGCAAAAATACAGAAAACAAACTATATCTCTGATAGCTGACCTCTCAGGCTAGGCAGACACACACAGAGATCCTCCTGTTCTATTCCAGGACTCAAGAATCAAATCATCACCTTTAAAAAGGTGATGTTATTAACAAGGCAAAAAGATATACTTGATAAAGCATACCTGATTGCTAGGTGCTACAAAGCAAATAAGGAAAAACAGATAAAAACACAAAGAACCATAGCTCTTTGGGTTGTAGTTTGAATATGGTGAGTGGGGGGAGGGAAAGAATAGATTCCCACAGAGAAGTTTAACCAAAACCAAGAAAAATATGCTTATTGCTTCTAAATACATATTTTGTCCCTTATTTACTCACAATCTCTCCATGGTTTAGTCCACTTTCATACCCCCACAATCCATGGAGGTATGACAGTCATACCTGGGTTTAAATCATTCTCTGTCTTCCAACTCCTGGCTTAAACTAACACAAATAGAAATGGCAGTAGATATCTATATACAATTCAGCATTGTATCCCCATTAGTACTTCTGGCCCCCTGCCCAAACCCTTAGCTACCTGAGTTTAACCCTTTAGTCACTAGTGCTGGCCAGGACTTCTCCTATCCATCACAGATGCAAAGATCTGTCAACACTTCATAAAGTGTCACTACAGAACCCCCACAATGGCCACCTGTTTCTCTGTGGATTGTGCTAGTTTTATGTTTGTTTTTAGCTAGACTTGTTGCCTTTTAGTAACACATCCAAAATTCCTACTTACAAGGCTGGAACTCACTCCTTTGCCCTCTTCCTTACAGGATTCTAGCAAAATGGCAAAAGTGAAATCCCTGAGATTTAAAACCAGCCCTTTTGTGAAGCTTTAATGTCATTTAATGATGGGCACTCGAGGTGCCCATTTTGTTTAGGAGAGAGGCATAATTCTCATATGTCTCCACTTCTGTAAGCAGGCTCAAAAAGCTAGGAATGCCAGTGAAAATTGTACCTTTTATAGCATTACTAGAAGATTCACCTGTTTTTGCTCAGGTCCTTAACTCAGTTAATTTTTGTTTTCATTTAAATCATTGCTTTCAGTTGGGCTGTGGATGAGGGGTTCAGTATGCAGGCTTCCCTGGGGAGACAGGACTACTCCAGCCCCCTCTCATTGCAGCAGCTTGAGGCTAGGTGAGAAGCGCCTTTTCATAGCCACTGCAACTCCAGCAGACAAAGCCAGGAGAGGAGAAGTGCGTGTCCCCTGGTTGGGGCAGGTCCAGGTTTGTCTGCCCTCTGCACTCCCCACTCAGGGTGAGGAATGGATCAAACTGTGTAGTTTTCCCTCACTCCTTGAGGAAGGGGAACAGCCAACAATGCCCTGGTACTAATAGGGTAGGGGAAACTGCAGCTCCCTGGCCTCCCTAAAGGGGGTGAGGGGCTGGTGTGCCCCCCCTGCCAGCCCTTTTCACTTGCCTGGTGATTGTCTATTTTCTGTATGGTTTTGTGTCGTCCTCCCCCACAGGAATGGGGGGCAGGGAGCTTCAGCCTTTGCTTCCCCACACAAATAAACCTTGACCTTACTTTAAGTTATTAGAGGAAGCTGCATACCAAATTTGGTGATCCTAGCTCTTACTGTTTAGGAGAAGTTCTTGAACAGCTGGCCACACAGACTCTCTCTGTCAAACTCTCTTAAATATATAATAGACATGCAAGCCTCCTTGGACTTTAAAACAAAGGATGCAGTTAGACCTCAATACATACACAAGGCACATGATTCATAATTCTGACTTGTCTCAGGTTCAGTGTTCTTGGAGCAGCCACCAGTCTTAGAAGAATCCTTCCGGTGCCCCAGAACGAATTGTTAGAGCTGGAAACACCCACTAACCCTACAGACTGTTTCTCTATTGGTACCAGTCATTCAGTACCTGGCAGTTTTGTACAGGCAACCTTGGAACCTTGGTCCTTAGCACATCTGTAGCTAGTGGCAATGGTTATCCATTTATTTACACAATGTGGGCAGAAATGTGTTATCTGGGCTGCATGGCAAGGCAGTGGCAGCCCAGACCCCTGCCCTGGACTCTTGCTAGGCAGTGGGTCAGCTTAGGACCCCACTGTGCCCAAAACCCTGGCACACAGCTCCACTTTTAGCATGCAGCTGTGTGTTAATAGGCACATGCAGCCCATTGGCCATTGGTTGAGTAGTTTGCATCCGGTCAGATACACAGTCTTGTTTGTCTGTGAGTTGGCAGATGCATATTATTAAATACCAATTATTTGAATTGGAACAAACTGTCTCAATTTGTGGACAGACTACCTTAAGAAGACCAAGAGGAATTAAAGAACAGCTGATATCTTACACTTCCTTACAAGCTGCACTGAATGCAGCTGACATAGTGGTGTGTATTGTGGACCTCCCCAGAAATCTATGAAGATTGCAGCTAAAGAGATTGTCTTAGACACAGCTGCGTAGCCAAGCAACTATTGAGGACCTACCCTTTGAGGACAACAAACTTTTTAATTTAATAATGAGTGAGATTTCTTGCTCCTTAAAGGATCCTAGGGTGCCTTTCCTCCCTGAGTCTTTGTTCCAGATGGAAGTAAGTATTACCAGATATTTTCTTCAAGCAGCATTCCTCTGCCAGCTCAAAGGATCTCAGAACTGCCAAGGAAGAAGCAAAGATTTCATAACAGCTTTGCCTTTTCCTCTACTGCTGCCTGTTTTTTGAACTCTGCAAGTTTGTTTCACAAGTTTTTTTTTTTTTTTTTTTTTTTTAAAGTTTCCTTATTGGACACCTACTTTGATATGATGTCTTGTAGTTGCTGTTTAAGTAAAACTTCTACATCCATATCCAAGCACGCTGGCAACTGTTTATCACCAACAGTGAAATCCATGTGGACAGTTGCTTAAAGAAGAAAGTTATTTACCATGTAGTAACTGTGGTTCTAGATATGTTGTCCAAATGGATTCCACATCCTGTCTTCCTTCCTTACTATTCTAGTGTCTGACACTTGCAGCGCTCTATATGGATATAGACAATGAAGGACAATTGGGCCTACTCTGCCGTATATGCCTTTACACAGTGGGTACATCAAGGGTGATGGGTTTGGTCACAGTGGACACTGCTTGCAAAAATAATGTAATCTCCCTTGCCTGTGAAAAGCATGAAACTACCATTACTGTAAGGCAGTGGTCACCAACCAGTAGATCAGGATCAACTGGTAGATCTTTGAGCCTCTGAAAGATGATCCTAACTGGTTTGGCAAAGAGGATATCAAGTGCTGGCACTTCAGCTGCCCCTCTCCCCACTGCTGTGACTCTCTTGCCCTTTGCCTTGGAGCAGTCCCCTCAGGAGCCTCCTGCTTGCTGTGCGTGATTCATGTCAAGGTGCCCCCTCTCCCACTCTGTATCCGATCTCCATAGAGCAGAGAGGGGGCACAACAGGACTTGGGATAGAGTTTGCTAGCTGCTTTTGGGAGTGGCACAGTGCCAGGGCAGAGTGAGTCTGCCTTAGCCCCACTGCACCACTACCCAGGAACCACCTGAGGTAAGCAGAGCCCAGCTGGATTCCACATCCCGAAACCCTACCCCAGTTATGAACCCTCTCCTGCACCCCATTTCCCTGCCCTATCCCTGAGTACCACTGTATCCAAATGCCCTCCCAGGGCCTGAATCTATAACCGCCTCTGGCACCCCAGCTGCCTGCCCCAAGCTCAGATCAGAACCCCTTTCACACTCCAATT